AATAAGTTGCAAACTACTATGCTTGCTCACTAAAGAAAAACCTCAAGCGAGAAAAGCACTGAGAAAGGTTATTGACTTGAAGAAAAAAATAATAAAACAATGATAGATAAGCATGAGACGACAGCAAAGTCTGTCTAGTATGATTTCCCACAGGAAAATTGCACCTGAACATTACTTCGTCTGTATTGCTATGGAAACGATAATTTTTGGTGAATCACGAGAATGTTAATTTGCTGGTACTCTACGAATTGCAGCAATGACAGCAAATGACAATGTGAGCACTGTAACAGTGAACTGATCAACATCAGTGAGTTGCAATATAAATATGCCCTTAATCTTGCTTCCGTTTCCTTAGCTTGACTTACATGTCCATAACTGTTTCTGGGAAGTATGTCAGACATTTCAAAGGTCACTTCTAATTCTCAAGTGCAAATGGAAGTGCCACAAGTCTCCATTATATTTTAGTACATACTATAGTTGTAGTTGTTGTAGACAACCAAGTCTATCCTGAAAGCGATTCACGACTGAAATGCAATTTTTGCTAACAGTAACCTTAATGCAAACGCTTCTTTGTCAGGAAACTTTTATGCAGGAAAGCGCCTGAGGAATGCTGTGTGGCATTTCTTTACAAGTTCTACCGAAGTTGTGGGAACCTCACAATGCACTATCTGCTCTGATGTTGTGAAGCATGCAAACAACACATCAAATCTATTAAAGGTATTGTCCACTGAAGTTTGAAGGGCTTTTTAATATTTTATCATAAATTGAAGATCATTCATATTTTCTTTTGTAGCATTTGAAATTAAAACACCCGGCTCAGCACAAGGAAGCTGAAAACCAGAGGAAAGAGGAAGAAAAAGCATCCAAGAGGCGTAAGACCGCTGACAACCTGCAGCAGCGTACCATGTCGGAGATGGCACAAACTTGGCAAAAGTATTCACCGACATGTGTGTGAAGCAGGAACATTGATCAGGCTCTTATAAGAATGATTGCAATAGACATGCAACCAGCAACCATTGTGGAGGACACCGGATTTCAGTTGCTGGTGCATTTGCTTGATTCTCGGTACCAGCTGCCCTCCAGAAGACACATAATGAGAAGTTTGCTACCTGATATGTACACAACCCGTGCCAAAGAGATAAAGCAGGAACTTCTGCAGATTTCTCACGTAGCTCTGACTAGTGACCTGTGGACATCAAGAACAATGGAAAGTTATCTTACTATCACCTGTCACTTTGTCACTTCCACATGGGAACTTAAGTCTCTGGTTTTGGAGACATTTGGGTTCAAAAAAGACCACACGACTGAGAATATTGCGGCGTCATTCAAAAAAATTGGACAAGAATGGGGAATTTCCCAAAAAGTTGTTGTGATAGTTGCTGACAATGCCGCCAACGTTGTTGCCAATGTCAGACACACTGGTTGGACACATGTCCCTTGCTTTGTACACACCCTGAATCTAGTGGTTTCTGAGGCAATTGAGGCTGACACAAAGATTCATCAGCTCAGAAAGAGCTGCAGGGACATTGTGAGCTTTTTCCACCACAGCGTTAAGGCCTCAGAAAGCTGAAGGAGATACAACTGCAGCTGGGAATTCCTGAGAACAAACTCATCCAAGAAGTGGAAACCAGATAGAACTCAACTTACTACATGTTTGAACGCTCCACAGAGCAACATCAAGCCATTATCACAGCAATTTGTCTCTCTGGTTGTAATGCAATGTGTCTTTCATCTTCTGATGTGAGCCTGCTGAAAGCTGCCATGGCCATTTTGAAACCCTTTGAGGCAACGACCAAAGAGATTTCTGCAGACAAGCATGTCTCCATTTCTAAGGTGATACCTCTGGCAAAATCACTACAACATTTGACTGGTGCGATTACAAAAAAGGACACACCCCTGGTTTCCAACCTTAGTTACCAGATGAGACGCCACTTCACAAATATTGAAAGTGCTCGCATGCTGGTGATGTCAACCTTACTGGATCCCTGGATGAAGAAATTGGCGTTCAGTGACTCAGCAGCCGTGAGACAGGCAGAGCAGTGGGTAGTTCAGGAGATGTCAAGGCATGTCCAGACTAATGATTCCAATGAAGATAGGCAGCCCAGTAATACAACTGAAGCAGCTGGCCTGTGGGATCTCTTCGACTCAGTGGTCAAGCAATCAACATCACAAGGAGCCTCAACCAGCAATGTAACACTGGAAGCCAGAAAGTATTTTAAGGAACCAGTGCTGGCAAGACTCCAAGATCCCTTACTGTGGTGGAAGGAGAATGAGCAATACTATGAACTTATTGCAAAAATTGCAAAGAAGTATCTTTGCATCCCTGGTACATCTGTTCCTGCCGAAAGGGTGTTCTCTAAAGCAGGGGAGCTAGTCTCCATGAGGTATAATTGGCTGAAGCCAAAGAATGTGAACATGTTCTTGTTTTTAAACAAAAATATCTGAGATTTTTCTTTACCTGCTGCTATCTAAGCTCTTCTTTTTTTGGCTAACTTGGCTGGTTGAAAGTAGACATTAGTTACCCGATATTGTTTTTTAACGATATTGATTTTCACTTGGGGTCTAGAAATATGTATCAAGTCCCCATGTTTACTCGTCGAATAGTTAGTATGGCCCTTCTATATGGTCCTGTATACCAGGGAGGCTCTGATGTATTGAGTATTAAAGCGCAAGACCCATAATAAGTTGGGCACCCATGTTTGGTTAGTTTAAGTTACCTGGGAAGTAACTGGTAACATTTCATTGTGCACCTGCAGATTGCTTAAAGATTGTATCATTGCGGTCTTCTTCATTTCCTTGAGAAAATTAAAAATGTGTCCCAATAAATTGAGATTTTTGACTTGTTTGACTGTCTTGTTGATGCTACTATAGAGAACTGAACCGGAAACCGTGCGAGAGAGCCTTAATTTAGTCAATTAGACCACGTGACTTACATTTATTTCAATGACGTCAAAGTATCGATATCGATATTGATATCAAAGAAAAAAGGAAATATCGCACTTGGTATCGTATCGATTCTAAAAAGCCGTATCGGCCCATCCTTAGTATGAAAATGTGCGCTTCTCTTGAAACTGCAATCGGGCAAGCCAGTGGATTCTCTTAGCTAGGCAATGACAATTCCCAAAAGATCCACGTGATCATGTCCGTAATGGGGAACAAAGAAGACTCCATTTTGCGCTCATCTTTATTTCTTTTCTTGACTGTTTTGCTTAATATAACATTTCTAAAGATGGGTTTTATTGTATTTCAATGGGAAAACAAGAACAGCGTGAGAGTTTTAAATGTAAAGAAAGTCATTGGCACCGTCGAGCTAAAAGATGGGACAGCAGTTGACATATCGACTGGTGTGGCCATTTATACAGCTATGATTTTGAAAGTTTGTGGTAAGTAAAAATTGCGATATTCGTTACATGATCAAAATCTTACCAAAGAATAGATATAACGGTTTGAATTAAGCTTACATAATGCCCAGTGCTTGCTTAAGTTTCAGTTGACTGAAACTCGAATAATTCTGAGAATCTAAACGGCTTGCATGCTGCCGTTTCTTAAGTTTACACTTTACAATGAAATAAATCTATCAGTAAAGTTTCAAGATAACTTTTAATTAGTCACGTTTTGGAACATTCTAGACTCATAATACAAACTGTGATTAACCAAACCTGATTACATAAAGAAGCCCTCCTTGATAAAAACAAAATAAAAGTGTTCAGCCCTTTTTAGTAAAGTCTATGGAAGAGATGTACTAACTCTAATATAAAAATCATTCAATATGGCGGAGATTTCCCAATCCCAGTGCACTTTGTTAAATTAGGATTCCAATGAATGCTCTTTTCCTTATAGCTATCTAAGGCCTTGTCTGAGCTCATTTGTTTTTTCATGTCATGGAATCCAGATACAAAATGGAAAGGCTTCTTGTAGACAACCTCATTCGAGGCCAACAGAGAAAGCTGCGAGCCCAGGAAAAAAGACAAACAGCAGTTAAGTCTGCAGTTTGGGATGACTTCATTCTAATTTATTGTTACAGTTACAATAAGATTTAAATTTTAAAAAATCATTTTTATTTAACTGTAGTTAACCCCATGGTGTGACAGAGCCCGCCTTAAGTGTGTTTCTTAAGAAAATATACATACTTCTCCCAAAAGATTTTTTTTTGTTTTGGTTTGATCTTCCCATAATAGAAATTCGATAGTGTTGAAGATCCCCCTTCCCCCAGACGTTTTCAGATCCTCTGTGCAAGTGCATGGGGAGAGTATGGATATTTTTTGGAACAGCAAAATGCTGATCTTTATTTTCCATGTAACACGAGTTATACCGATGGCATCCAGTTCTCATTCTGATTGATCAGAGTCCCGAACAGTTATTCACCTAGCTTTGTTTTAGTGCGTTTAAATGAAATTGTATCCTTAAATTTAAAAATTTTTAAGTGTTTCCATTTCTAGTTTGTCAAATGTAGATTTTACACTAAAGATACAGTTTCTGAAATGTTTACCTCCATTAAATATCTTCCAAAATTTGAAACCCCAGCTTTCAAATATTGAGATCTAGCTACTCTAGCTTTCACTTGATAGTTTCCAATTTGTAAGAAGGGGAGTGAATGGTAAGAAAGAAGAGGAAAGGGCACAATGTTCCAGGTTTCAACCCTTTTTCTTTAAATATATCCAGCACTGTAGGTTAAAGTGTATAGGCATGACTTCTCACTTGGGACTGTAAGCTGAGAATTATATGATCAATAATTAGGGATCAAAGTATTTGGTCAGAATTTACCTGACTTTTTTATCTTCTCCTTCACTCCCATTTACCCCACTTCTAACACCACATGGGTGAGTGTCTGGTTGAAATGCTCTGTCACAGTTTATGGATGCTTGCACTCTTTCCTCACTTAGGCTTTCATAGTTGATTGCACAAAAATTATGCGGAACAAAGCAAGCATAAATGACATGAGGCAGGTCATTTATGTTGATGTCCATTACACATCTAAAGTAGCCAAATCGTGCTTTGAGGCATCCAAAGGCACATTCAATAACAAACTGTGCACTGCATAGCTTTAAACCAAACTAATGTTCTTTTCCAAGAATGAGTTCATACTAGTTGCCACACAATACCAGAGTAAAATTTATTGGAAACGAGTCATTTCTGAAAGAGATTTCAAAGGTTTGCACGAGACTTTAAGAGTTCTACCTTGGGACCTGGTAACATCAGATCCTGGTATTGACACTAGCTTAGAGAAATTCCAGGACATACCACAAAGAACTCTAAAACGGTGTTCTAGGCCTCCATGGATTGATAACAAAATTATGAAATTGATTAGAAAGAAGAAGAAACTTTGGAAATGTTTAAAAACTAATGGATCCCCTGATTTATTTCTGAAATTCAAGGATCTTAGAAGGAAGACCAAGAAGCTTATTAATTCAAATTACCAACAGTATCTTCATTCTTTATCTGAAAACTCCAAGAAAATCCCAAGCATTTCTGGTCATTCCATTCTACTAAATCTAAGACAAAAGGAATTCCAGAAACTGTTATTTACATAGACACCAGGTCTAGAGACTTGAATTCTAAGGTGGAACCATTCAATGTGTTTTTTCAATCTGTCTACTCTAAATCAACAACTGATGTCAATCTGTTGGCCACAACAGCTCCAGAGCTTGAAGGAATTTTAAGT